AAACCATTTCAGGTGACTACCTCTTGAAGCTCATGGAGAGAATGCCAAGAGTGTGCAAAGCAGTAATCAGAGCAAAGGGTGGCTATTTTGAAGAAACTAGAATATAAAACATGTTTTCAGTTATTTCACCTTTTTTTGTTAAGTACATAACTCCACATGTGTTCATTCATAGTTTTGATGCCTTCAGTGAGAATCTACAATGTAAATAGTCATGAAAATAAAGAAAACGTATTGAATGAGAAGGTGTGTCCAAACTTTTGGCCTGTACTGTATATGACAACAGAGTGAAAAAAAAATGAATAAAGAATATCTTCTTTTACATAGTCTTCTTGTAATTCACAACATCAGCAGGTGTAACTGAGTTAAAAATGCACCTTATTAATTATTATTTCCAATTTGTTTTTGTGAATTTTATCTCATTGAGTTATTTTTATTTACTACAATTTTATAAATTTTTCTTGTGGAAACGATTTTCCTGCATTCTGACTTTTCCGTACCTCCTGGGCTCCGTAGCCTGATTGGCTAGTAGTCATTGCCTTTTTTGGCTGGATTGGTTAGGTTTAGGCATGAGGAATGAGATTGGTTAGGGTTTGTGTAAGAATGAAGAAGAAGAAGTCAATCGGAGGCAGAGTAAGGCAGAGTATGAGAAAATGCTGCTGTGATTTTGTTTTATTTTCTTCGGAATTTGAGCCATTTATATTGATATCTTCAGTGCATATTGTTCACTGTTGCATATTATTATGTTACCAAGCTGTTTTGTGTTGTTTTACCCATTAATATAAGTTTTATAGACATTTTTAGTTTCACTTTTTTTGGGGGGCACGATTTGCACTAGGGCAGTCCGCCCTGTGTCATGTAACCTATGCAACACAGCTTGCATTTCCAAGTGTAAACACTGTGCATGTCTGCATGTTTAGGTGCAGAAGTGCCAAAGAAAGGATATCTTTTTATGTCTTCTGCAGGAGCGAATAAATGCAGGAAACAGTTTGTTGAGTCATCCTCCTTCGTGTCCCATTCACACTCGTTACACAGGGAAAACTGTCTTCTCAGAACCCAGCAGACACAAGTATGGAGAGTTGATCATTTTAGCCAGATGCTTAATCTAAAGCACAGTAGACAGAATCAGCAACAACCAGAGTCACACTAGGTTTTTATTATGTGCCCCTGTCTCTCCTTCTCTTTCCAGCACTCTGTGGAGGCTGTGAATGCTGGGGTGAATCCGATCGGTGATACCTCCTACAACTCCAGCCACTGGGATCTGGGTAGTGCCTTCTTCTTTGCTGGGACTGTCATTACAACCATAGGTAATGTGACTCAATGGCTCACACTGAACACAACAATAGAGTTCAATACAGGGTGTACATTGTATGTTGCATTGTGTGCTGGATGTACAAAATCATTTTCTCCATACTCCACCTATCTATAAATAAATGCAATATGCAGATTAGCTGGCTTCATCTTCAGACATGTTAATCTAAAGACAAATCAGAATCAGAATCAGAAATACTTTATTGATCCCCAAGGGGAAATTATTTATGTTATAGGTGCTCCTTGCAAGAGAGGAAAGATACGTGAAAATATAAGAAAGTTAAACAATAGTATTTACAAATATATAGTTAAATAAACAGGAATTATTAACAAACATAAACATAAATAAATATATATATATACACATATATATATATTGTAAGTTGAACAAGATTATTTACACAAACAGAATATATACAGTCAAGGTGAAATGGGGTTATTGCATAAGTTACATTGGATTATTGCAGTGTGTGTGAAAAAGTCTCAGGGCCACTCAGAGGGAGGAGTTGTACAGTTTGATGGCCACAGGCAGGAATGATTTCCTGTGGCGCTTAGTGGTACATCTTGGTGGTATGAGTCTCCCACTGACCAGCACATGGTGGAGTGGGTGTGAGACATTGTCCAAGATAGTTCGTAGCTTAGACAGCATCCTCCTCTCTGACACCACCATCAGAGAGTCACACTCCGTTCCCACAACGTCACTGGCCTTGCGGATCAGTTTGTTGAGTCTGTTGGCATCTGCCACCCTCAGCTTGCTGCCCCAGCACACAACAGCATAGAGGATGGCACTGGCCACCACAGATTCATAGAAAATCCTGAGCATAGTCCGGCAGATGTTGAAGGACCTCAGTCGCCTCAGAAAATAGAGATGGCTCTGGCCCTTCCTGTAGAGAGCGTTGGTGTTCTTACCCCAGTCCAGTTTATTATCAGTGTGTACCCCCAGGTACTCATAGTCCTCCACAATGTCCACACTGACCCCCTGGATGGAAACAGGGGTCACCGGTGTCTTGGTCCTCCTCAGATTCACAGCCAGTTCCTTTGTCTTTGCCACGTTGAGCTGCAGATGGTTCTGCTCACACCATGTGACAAAGTTATCCACAACAGCCCTGTACTTATCCTCATCACCCTTAGTGATACATCCAACTATAGCAGAGTCATCAGAAAACTTCTGAAGATGGCAGGTCTCAGTGCAATAGCTGAAGTCCGTGGTGTAGAGGGTGAAGAGGAAGGGAGAGAGGACAGTCCCCTGCGGGGCCCCGGTATTGCTGACCACTCTGTCTGACACACAGCATTGCAAGCGCACATACTGTGGTCTGCCAGTCAAGTAGTCTACAATCCAGGACACCAGGGGGGCATCCACCTGCATTGCTGTCAGCTTGTCACCCAGTAGAGCTGGACGTATGGTGTTGAACGCACTAGAGAAGTCAAAAAACATGACCCTCACAGTGCTCGCCGGCTTATCCAAATAGGCGTAGACATGGTTGAGCAGGTAGATGATGGCGTCCTCAACTCCAAGTCGGGGCTGATAGGCGAACTGGAGGGGGTCCAAAAGTGGCTTGACCATGGGCCGGAGCTGCTCCAAGACGAGTCTCTCCAGGGTCTTCATGATGTGGGAGGTCAATGCCACGGGTCTGTAGTCCTTGGAGCCACTGGGACACGACGTCTTTGGCACAGGAACGAGGCAGGATGTATTCCACAGCAAGGGGACCCTCTGGAGACTCAGGCTCATGTTGAAGACATGCTGAAGTACTCCACATAGCTGGGGGGCACAGGCTTTGAGCACCCTGGGGCTGACACCATCAGGGCCTGCAGCATTATTTGAGTGGAGTCTCATCAGCTGTCTTCTCACATGGTCAGCAGTGAAGCACATTGTGGAGGTGACGACACGTGGGAGAGGGGTGTAGTCCTCATGATGGAGAGTGCAGTCAGTCTGGCCACGGGGGGAGGAGGTGTGGGGGGGTCAAGCAGGAGGGTGTTGAGGTGTGAGAGGGAGGAGTGGGGGAGGAGGGCGGAGTGGGAGATGGTCGACCAAGACAGACAGCAGAACAGTCAGGGGGGGGGTGGGCAGGTCCAGCAGTGTCAAATCTGTTAAAAAACAGATTCAGTTAATTTGCCCTGTCCACGCTGCCTTCAACTCCTCTGTGGTTGTTGGTCCTGAAGCCAGTGATGGTCCTCATTCCACTCCAGACCTCTCTCATGTTGTTCTGCTGGAGTTTCCTCTCCAGCGTCCTCCTGTACCTCTCCTTAGCCTCCCTTATCTTCATCTTCAGCTCCCCCTGTATTGTTCTCACCTCCTCCCTGTTACCAGCTCTGAAGGCCCTCTTCTGTGAGTTGAGGATGATTTTGATGTCCTTTGTTACCCATGGTTTGTTATTTGGATAACAATGGACAGTCCTGGCTGGGACAGTGGAGTCCACACAGAATCTGATGTAGTCCGTGATGCATTCTGTGAGCCCGTCGATGTCCTCCCCATGTGGCTCACAGAGTGCCTGCCAGTCTGTCACCCCAAAACAGCCCTGCAGTGTCTCATAAGCCTCCTCTGACCATCTCCTCACTGTCCTCATGGTCGCAGGCTGGCTCTTGACTAGTGGTACATAGCAGGGGTTGAGGAGCACCAGGTCGTGGTCTGACCAACCCAGAGGGGGGAGGGGGGAGCAGCTGTTTGCATCTTTGGCGTTAGCATACAGCAAGTCCAGTGTTCTCTCCTCTCTGGTAGGACAGCTCACATACTGTGTAAAAAAAGTATTTCTAAAAAGTGATTGTAATTGTCTTTTTTTTTTTTTTTAGAAACGGTTTTTAAACACCAGCAATCTCTCAAATTAAACTCAGGTTCGAGAGAGTATTTTAATACATGGCCCACATCATCTGTCAAATTACTGCCACAGGTGGACAAAAGTGATAATTGAGCTCCTCTTTACCATCCATGGCTCAACTTCAACTTCAACTTTATTTATGTCCCCAAGGGGCAATTGATTTTGCAGCAAACACTAAAACAAATGGGTACAGTACATATATACACATAAATAGCACATTCCCAAAAAAAAACAGAAAAAAAACAGTGAGCACTAGATCAAAAAGCAAGAACAATAAATAGAAACATGAGAGTATAAATACACTGAATATAAAGTGCGACATGTAACTCCTCCACAGCCAGGTAGGGGCTAGTTACCTCCCCTCTGGCCTGAATTAAGGATAGAGATAGCTGAAGGAATAAACGAGTGCTTGTACCTGTTTGTCTTAACAGGAGGGAACCTGAACCTACAGCCAGAGGGTAAAGACTGAAATTCGCTGAACAGGGGGTGGGTGGCATCAGACAGGATGCTTCTAGTTTTCCTCCCCATCTGTCTAGTGAACAGATCAGACAACAGACTCTGTTGCACTCCCAGAATCTTGCTGCTCAACTTAACTATCCTGTTAAGTGAATTCTTTGCCTTGACACTGAGGTTCCCATACCAGCACAATAATGAAAAAGTGAGCACAGACTCAATACAAGATTTGTAGAAAAGGGTCATGAGGGTCCTATCCACTTGAAAAAAAGACAGTATCCTAAGACAATACAAATATTGCTGACCCTTCTTGCATGTCAGTGCATGTCATTAAAATTCAAGTTCATATCAATGAAAGTCCCCAGGTACTTGTACCTCTCCACCGACTCGACCACCTGACCCTTAATAATAGTCGAGGAGGATGAAGGCTGCTGCCTGAAGTCAATGGACATGTCCTTTGTTTTGGAGGTATTTAGTTGCAGAAAGGAGTCATTACACCACTGTACAAATTCATCGACCACAGGACCATTAATTACTTTCACTGTTGTGGAGGAGGCTGACAATAACCGAATCATCAGCAAATTTTAGGATGAATCTATCGTTGTACTGACTCCGACAGTCATTGGTGTACAGTATATACAGTAGTGGTGAAAGGACGCAGCCTTGGGGTGAACCAGTAGATGAAGTTAAAACGTCAGACACATGCCCATTCACTTTCACTTTCTGAGTTCTGTTTGTTAAAAAATCGAAGATCTCCTACTCCCCAATCCCATCAACCTGTGTCAAGTCACTTGCCACATCCCAAATTTCATCTATTAATCTACACTTTAGCCACACTATTGTCCATAAGTATCAAAAATTGAAAATGAAATGCTAGTAAATAAACATAGGCAAATGACTTAGCTATCCCCGAATCTGGAAACATGGCCATGAAAACTTCAGATATGTTTTCATTTGAGTTCAGTGACTGGTGTTATCACCTCCACACGCAGCGTTGCTGTGCCGCCCAGAGCTACCCTGATGTCGGCAGAGGATGAGGAGGCAGAGGTGGCTGTCCTAGTAGCCCACGTCGTAGCTGTGGCTTCAGGTGCAGCTGCCGGTGGCAGTGTAACGGAACGTTGGCACTAGGTTGTGGTGGTGCAATGCTAGGATTGGCTCAGAAACTAGCAACGGAGATTTGCCACTCTCGGCCACTAACAGCGGCCTTGTGGATAGCGCCATGCATGTGGGACTTTACGGAGTTAATTCCCATCAAAGCAACTCTGATCTTCTTCTTGAATACTGCACAATATGATTCCCTGATGTTCCCCGCGACTGGCTGCAGCCATGTTTTAAAGTCCGGCACATCCAGCCAGGACTCCATGAATTTGCACTTTCCCATAAGTTCACCATTCCAGCCTTCTCTTTTGTTTCACGCTGAGGGCGTCATGTGACATAAGGGTGTGTTCATAATATGTCCTGAGAGTGCCGGAGTGTACTCAGGGTGCTCTCTGGTCTTTCGAAAAGTCATTTGTGCCTCTGAATTTCCGCCCGAGTGCGCTCTGGCGCTCTCAGAGACATTTTATGAACGCACCCATAATAGCCTATTTTTTTTTTTTATGTTACCGGTTCATCTTTGTTTTTTAATAAAACGAATACCGGATACCCTGTTATATTCAATGCACTGTAACAGAATAACTGATAAACTGTACATAACTGCAGGAAGTTTGTGTAAAATGGGGGTTTTAGGTGAATATTGAGCAGATTATTTTGAATGAATATTGAATCAAAGATGAATTTTCCTGGTGTTCTTAGGCACTTTTTATATGATTATCTATCTGTATTATGTAATTTTTAATTTGTAACAAACATACATACTTAAAAGGCTTATTTTTTTGACATATCAAGTGTTTTCTTTGCCCTGATGCTTGGCCATTGCTCTATTAGCTCTTTGGTTGTTAAAACTGTGTACCTTTGTAGTGCAGGACGAGGTTGTTTAGCAGAGAGTGAAGGCTCTGTGAATATAGTTTGTGATCAGATCTTCATTGAGCCCTTATCCTGTAAGATTTTTTTAGGTTTAGATTTTGAATAAAAATCTAAACTTTAAAAATAATCATTTAGTTTTCTTCACAGAAGTGTATGAAATTCTGAGGTATAGGCTCACTGTATATGCTTTGGTGACCCCTAGTGGGGTTTGGATCCCCAGGTTGGGAACCAGTGGTGTAAACCATAGGCTGCAGAAATACCGGGCCATGGCTTGCTTAGAGAGTAACTTAACAACAGGCTGAAAAGTTTTGCCACCCTCTCTGGTTGAAGTTCCAAGCCTGTTTCATCTTTACCACTCCCAGCATCAGTGATGGGTGCAGTTGACTATGGTCAGAAGTGTGCTCTGTTGAATCTGTGACCACACCCAGTGGTGATGTCCGTGGGTCCTGGAGTCCACTTCTGTCTAGCTGCAGTAAGATGAAAGGTTAAACAACTGGTGGGTGCCTTAGAAGTTTTTCAGGGGCTTTTAAGTTCCTTAACCTTGTTTTCCACTTTTATTTATAGTGCTAAGCTGGCCTTGAAAATCAGAGCCTATAATTCAAGAACATTTTCAGTACAGCAGCTGACGGGATCTGATTGGACAACAGACAAATTGCTTTTGTTCGCACTAGTGAATTAACCCTTTATGACCTACCATAGAACAAGTCTGCCAGAGCATATCTTTACAATTTTACCTGCTGTAGGGCCATTTTTTGGAGTATTTTAATATGCTATACATCAATACGACCCTTAAATCCCAAATTTTAATAATATGTCCATACTAATGAAAGAAATTGCTAAAAAGTGCAATAAACCACTAAAAAATGAAAATCGTTTTTGTTTTTACACATATTTTTCTAAATACAGAAATATCATGGCTGTATCCCTCAAAATTGTAAATGTAAAAAAGGTGCACAAAATCCTTTCAAACCACAGAAAATTTATTTTGAGTGTTTTCATAACTTAATTTTTGAGATACACTCATTTTTATAAAATGTGACAAAAACGAAAGTTAAATGCACATTGTGCACAATTAGCAAAAATACAACATGTACGTCAAAATAAACTATTTACAATAGAACAACCAAAGTTCAAAGTCAAACATTAGTTTTCAATAGCACCAGGGGAGCTGTGATAGGTCTTGTGACAGTTCCTGTCCATGATGAGCAATATTTTTGCTGCATTTTTATTGGTGTTGGCACACAGTGTTTTGATGGCAGCCCGGTGAAAGTACATCCTGAACAGCTCAGATGGAGAGGGATTGTCCACATACTGTGATAGAGGTGGCTGCACACCTGGCCTCCTTTTGGGCAGAAAATGTGGTAGGGGATGTGGCAAGATGTCAGGCTCCTTTTCGGTTCTCCAGCCAGCTGTATCACCAGGGAGTGTCTCTGACCTGGAGCCTCTGTTTGCTGGAGACCGACTCCGTCCTCCCCCTCTGCCTCCCTCTGGGGTGCAGGGCGAGGAGACCCCCCCATTTCCTCCTCCTCATCATCGTCGTCAACTCTGCATACAGATGTTACACAGTGTGTTAGATGTGTTCAACATGAGAGTAATACAATAATGGTGCGTATTTAGTGCAAAATGCTTTCAGTTGTGTTACATGTATATTTTCTTTACTTTACTCTAACTCATAAACAAACAATATTTCATGAATATATACATACATGTCATAGGAAGGATCTCTCCCTTGGATGAGGTCGGCGTCATCTCCACTGTCGGTAGAATCCGGACCAGATGAGTGGACTGAATCTTCATCCGACGCTGTAATTAGCTTGAAAGCTTCGTGCCGGGAGAAAAGCCGTTTCGCGCGTCCGGGTTGTTGCGGTTCCATAAATATATGTGTGCGAGTGTATGGTGAGTGTCTGGTGTGTGTGTGTGTGTGTGTGTGTGTGTGTCTAAGTGTTGCTGTGAAAGAGTAAAATACTAAACGAGAGCGAGAGCGAGTGTGTGACTGCAAGCTGAGAGAAATATTTACCGCGGAAGAAAGGGAGGAATTTCCTGGGAAATGATGTCACTCCTTGTTGCCGCGGGTAGTGTCGCGAGAAAGACACGCAAGAAAATAACGTGACAGTTCATGCTCACAACGTGATGACGTTTAGTCCAACATAGGAAGTGCTGTGAATACCCGCGATCAGGATTATAATGTTTTTGTTCTTAGCGCTTTTTACTGTTTTTCTACAAACCTGTCAGTGCAAGGAAACAGCACTCTGGGACATGATGAATGCATGGTAAGTTAGAGTAACTCCTCCGGTTTTAAATGCAAAAAGAATTGTTGCTCTATCTTATTTGGTTGCAATTCTACCGGCATTTAAATATCAATATGCAAATGGGATCGCGGGCGCTCCCGCCGGTTTTAAAGGGTTAAAAACATGCAGTGATTGTGCTTGCTTCATGTAGTCCTGTAAAACCCCTCTTTGTCTCCTTTCTCTTCTTCAGGATATGGTAACATCGCCCCAAGCACTGAGGGAGGGAAAATCTTCTGCATTCTGTATGCAATATTTGGAATACCGCTGTTTGGATTCCTCCTGGCAGGTGTCGGGGACCAGCTTGGAACCATATTTGTCAAAAGCATTGCCAAGGTGGAGAAGATGTTCCGGGTGAGTCACAACCAGTGGTCGAATTGAGGGGGGATGCCATCCCCTTTGTTAGAAAATTGACCAAAAAGCATCCCCCTTGTTAATCTAGAATCTGTGTGTGCAGGCACGGACGTAATTTAAGGGGGGGGGCACAGGGGACAGGGGGCGCACTTCCCGTATCTGTGCCCTCTGTCCCCCGCACTTTTTACTGCTGTTACCACCATTCAATTCGTTTTTAACATGTGGTAACGTGTTTTTCCGAGCTGTCTTTAAACGCACCATGAGTAGGCGGCACCAGGCGGCATACACATGCTGTCATGTTGTGATCTGAATCAATCGCACACAGACCAGAGGTGTGCTGCTGGGCAGTGCCTCTGTGTTAACTATGTTCAGCAAACCAGCCAACAAAAAGAAAAAAACCTTGCACAGTTTCTTGAGTAATGCTGTTGCATGTAGATAATGTTAGCTAAATGATGACTAATTAATAGATGCCAATATATCAAGTTAAGATAGTTAAAGCTATAGTTGGTAATGTTGGAGAGGTAGCAAGATTTGAAAGTGGCACCTCCTCTAAACTCCACCCCCTGCTCCCCCTCCCGTCAGTGCTCCGTCCAAAGCCACGAGCCCAGACATGCCTAAAAGCACATACTAAAGTCAGCAGAACAGAGGAGAGACAAGTAAAATAACAAATCCCCCCAAAGCAAACAAATAATTACCTGTCCAACAGAAAGACAGAAACCTCTGCATCACTTTTCAGGCCCTTCAGCTCCCTCAGTTGTCTCCACCGTTCAAAAGCTGGACTGCTGTTGATGTCTGGTTTGTCCTCTCACTTTATCCAAAGCCTTTTTCTTTGCAGCCTTTTCTGCCTCTGACTTTCTCTTCTCAGCCTATTTAGTGGGGCGAGCCGTTACAAGTAACGCTGGAAGTGGTACTTTTAGCTGTATTTTCTCTGCCATTGTGCAGCAAACTCGTGCTAACTCAGTATTTCTGCTGAGGAGTGTGCTGAATATTTCCGGCAACAGTGACACGTGATGAGTGCGCGCAGGGAGGAGGGAGGGAGGAACGGAGGGGGGCTCAGGCAATACGAGAGATGAAGGCATCTGATTGGTTCTTTCCATTCGCACCGAATGGCAGGGATTGGTTTTTACAGTCCTGCAGCTGCCACAGAAGTCGGATTTTTTTCATTCCTTTTTCTGAACACATTATGTATTGACTACTCTCAGGATGGAAGGACCATTTCACCCAGTGTAACAAGAAGTGTTTCTGTACAGGATTACCAACTATGGCTTTAACAAGAATACTAATGTTATTGTTACCTATCTTAAATCGTTTGCTAGCTACTTTCATGTTAGGAAAAAACCCACTCCCCCTAAATAAGAATTTGTGCTCACTATTGCTTTGCACATATTTTTTTAATCTTTATTGCCACAATATAAAGAGCAGGGTCAGGGAGGAGACAGTGGACCAGAGGCCAGCAAGGATGATCATGCAGGGTTCTCATAGGTGAGGAGAGATTATAACTGGCTGAGAGAAAATATCTAGAGCACAAAATTGACTGTGCGATTAATTTCCACGGCTATGTCACCACTACTATTCTTAATTCTATTTCTAAATTTTGCTTTGCACATTATTATCTATATCATTGCAACAGATAGAAGAGGAACAGGGAGAAACCAGGCAGGTATCTGGACAGGGACAGCAGCAGTGGAGCTTGTCGATGAGAGAGATCACTCTGATTGGCTGTTCAGGTTTTATTTCCTCGCCCCTGTAGCGAGTGAATCTGCCTGTAGTGAAACCGGGGCAACCTGATCTCACAGAAATATATGAAATGATCACGTCCTCTTAACGCCACATTCTGTGGTGGCAGCACGTAATGAGTGAAAAATTACGTGCTGGTACCACAAAAACAATGCCAATGTACAGTCAGTTAAGATCCATTGTCGTGGTGGACACACAAATTCCCTGATTTAACAACGTTGCGTCAACCTAGTTTTCCTCAATGATATCTTTAACGTTTCTGTATACACACAAAAACACAAAAGTGTCCTTGACAACTGAACAATATGACAGGTTAATGTCAAGGCCATAAAATAAAATAAATGTATTTAAATATATGTAATAAATTTATTTTGCCTTTTGATAGCGTAGGGCTTTAAAAGCATTGTGCTGTGGGCGGATGTGGCCTGTTCGACTACTGTTTTGTAGCTAGTGTCTGCCATCTGTGGGCTTCATTCCATTTCAAATTGCCGTCCGTCTGCCATAACTGTATCCAAACGCCACTAATAAATAAATAAATAAATAAGATGGTGATAAGAGGGTGATAGGTGATATACGGTCTCTGAAGAGCAACAGTCTCGTCAGTACTGATGTCCAGATTCTCAGGTACAGGCATCGCCAATTCCCAGTCTGAGCAGCAAAGACTTTCCTCACCCGTTGGCATTGCTTTGCATTTGAAACAACTACACCACCAGATTTCCAGTGCTGTCCTTTGCTAAAAGACTGTAGTGCAAATTATTGTGAACACGTGAACGCGGAGCACAGAGAAGCAGCCAGAGCTGCAGGCATAATGTAATGCTAAAAACAGAGCTCATATGATGTTTTTCGAAACAACTTTTTTTATGTCGCGGCTGCAGCACACTTGAATCACTATGGATGAGCAGTAAGGAGATACTTTGCGGATTCAATTTTGTGTTCTTGGACGTTAGTCTGGGGCGCCGTCTGCCATTCAGTGTGCTATCCGCTCCGCCCACCGATTTCTGCAAGGGATGTGAGGACTCTAAAACTTCACCAGGGTCTCCATTGGCATATGGATGAGTAGATAATGGCTGAATTTTCATTTTTGGGTGCACTATCCCTTTAAGGGAGCGAAAAATAAAGTTTCAAACTCCCTACCCGGCAACACTACGGGTCCACTACGACGATGGCATCCAGACATACCAGAACACAGTGGAAGCTACAGAGGACATGGTGACACAGGGACTCCCAGTCACCGTCATTACGGCCCCACTCCACAAAGACCACCGAGAGCTGCAACTCCTTTCGTCATGGCAGATGGCCGGAGACCCGAAGGGAACATCAGACACGGATGCAGAAGCACAACGACAGGGGAAATTCTTACACAAATCCTACAAAGAGAAGCTACAGGAATTCAAACGAAACACACACCCAACCAAATAAACATTTTGATGGTTATCTAAATCATATGGTCCCAGATAAGTAACTTGTGTTAATTTAATTACTTTGATTTTGGACTCCGAAAGAGCTAACCTGGAACCAAGACATTTAAAAGATGTGATTATTACATAACTTAAGTTACAAGGACTGCAAGAGAACAGTCTGTTTTGAGTTAAGGAAGAAATAATTTTATTTACTTTGATCTTGGACTCTGAAAGAGCTAACCTGGAACTAAGACATTTAAAAGATATGTTGGGATTCACAGGACCACAGATGATTTATCATTTGGTAAAATCATCACGGGACAATTTAAAGGCTTTTTCCTCTGCATGCTCTTAGTATTCAAACAAAGAGGGCAATGCGACACCCATCTCCACAGGAGATCTCACCTCACACCTCAGTGAGACTCAAGTCCCAAAACTTGATTGGACAAGACCTTTTACAGTGACATGTGACTCTGTGATTTGCACAGGCGTCTGTACAAGATCTTCTCCCTTCCACAGAACTTCCTCTCCTTGCTCCAGCTGTTGAACAGCTAATACCTCTCTCCGGCTGGGCTTGGAACAGCCCAGAGGCCCAGACCACTAAAGGGAGGGCAATTGATCACAGACTCTCTGACCTGAAACAGAAAGGTAGAGTTGCAAACACAAGGTTTGCAACTAGCTTTCCAGCAATAAGGAACTGAGTTAACACCCAGCGTCTAACTCTGCAAGGACCCCGAGCGACTGGCTTCCTCAGATTAGAACCTTTGGAACAAAGGACACAACAAAGACTGCAGCTGAAACTGCACCTTCCCAGCCTTCTTCTGCCAGCTAACGGCAGTACACCACCAAGTGACTCTTTCCTCCATCCATTCAAGGATTGGTAATGTAACAACTGGGCATAGCTTATCACAGCTTTACAGGCTAAGCAAGACTGGTTAACTTGTTGTATGTGCTTTGATGCTGTTTCCTGAGTATTGTTGTGATAGGTTGCAGTTAGGTCATTGATTAGTTGGCTTCACCAAAGCTAAGTGTTTAGTTTGCTAATACTGTTTGCAAGCAGATTCTTGCATACAACTAAACAGTCTCTGTACTAATCCAGACCGTTTGCAACACATATCACATTGACATAGACTCATTAACAAAGGCTTTCAACAGAGCTACCCCAAACAGGCATATCAAAGTTCCCGCTTCTTTTCCTTTGTCTTTGTCCTGACCATACGGTCAGACAAACACCTCCCCCGAAACTGAAGCAGCCTTGATTCGGCCATTTTGGTAGTTCTCTGTTGTCAGCCATTTTGCTTTGTAGACCAAACGGCTCCTTGATCACCACACCCACCTTTGTCTTTCTCTTCTTTCTCTCTCTCTCTCTCTCTCTCACACACACACACACACACACACACACACACACATATACACACCAAGCTTGTATATAGTTAGTTAGAATTCGTGTGTTTTGGTTTGCTTTGCTAATTTGTGAATAAATATAATTCTTTGGAATCATGCCTGCTGTCTGTTTAATGTTGCACATGGGTGAATGAATAGTCAACTTCTGCTGCGTCAAGAACTCCGAAATCCTTCAGGCGTTACTGTTAATTTTGGTTGTTGTCATTAATTTAATTATTAATCAAACTCCAAATTAATAGTTTTAGCGTATTTTATGAGACTGATATCTTTAACTGGCATCATTTTTCCCTTTACGGGAATGGTGCCCCACGAGGTGATTTAATGTTAATTAAGTCACATTATTTAACATAATTATTACTTATTAATAATAATTATTAATTATTTCCGATAGCCAATTAAATCCCAACATATTTGGTGCCTCTGTGTGAAACCTAGTGTGTTGACCCCAACATTTATGGT